TTCCTACAGCTTACCTGCGTTAGAGCAGACTGAACATGGGCTATAGGCTCAGCAAACGCTTCAGGGAACCATCCGACCTGAATGGGAGAAAAATAAAAATGATGGGACAGCAATATGAAGGATTGCAGTGGGCACGTCCTACAAATCGCAAAGATGATCTAGGATGCATTGCGTTTATAAGTAAAATGACTAAACAGTAAACAGAAGTCCATGAGCACCAACCAGGGTGCAGGATGACCCATCAGAAGGGGACGTATTTGGTTGTTAGGAAATGGGGTCGTATTCGGATTCGAGAGAAATTTGTCCAGTTGCTGATTCTTCCTTGGTTTCTGTGCGCTTTACCCTTCCCCACCGTTTCCTTGTTGGAGGCACACAAAACTATTACTCCACATAGCGAGGGTGTCCCCCCACGCTTGATGAGAGCGCACGCAGATTATGGATTTTGTACATAGGCGCGAACTAATAGAGCTGCTCCAAAAATGGGGCCCTTTTGATACCGTCCTTTAACCATTACGATATTTACCCTGGTGACCATCTGCTGTGAAGCTCTAGTCGCCACAGCATACAGCATTGCTCTTGACTGTTTGCTGTTGAGGCAGGAGCGTCGATTAGGAGATCCGCATTGCGGCGGAAAGTGAAGAACAGTACTTTTAAGTAGCTGACTCCTTTTCAGCACTTCCATGTAAAAAATCACATCCTGGTGCGACTGTTGCGCGTGAGAGACGATTATGGAAGTAGCTTCGCAACGACATGGTTCTCCTAACTGGCACTGCATCTCTAGCAGCGAGGAGGCCAGAGTTTGGATGGATCATGAACCAAAGAAAGTGATGCAGCCTTGTTCTCAGCGGAGCTGGGGCGGGGTAGGTTTAGCGCAGCGCCAGCCCGTTCATACCGATTGTTATCACTTGCCCTTCTCAACAATCGATGGGAAATGGGCTGGCGCCGCGTCTCCAGTCCCATGACATGCCTCAGCATACACAGCGAACAAGACTAGCATCCTTATAAAAGAAGGAAAAACGTAAAAAATAAATCCGGGACTAAAATAAAAAATGTAACGGAAGTGAGGCATTATTGGGCGATAAACCGCTGGGTATAAGCAAGAGCTACCCACTGAGAACTTGCAAAAGCCCACCAAAAACGTTGGAACACAACTACAACCTTCTCACCTTATCACGGATCTGCCCAGCCTTCCAGCCCGGTTCGGCGGCATGCGATTCGACACAAGCAGACGTCAAACCTGGCTGCTAAACTCAACTCGCTTCCCTCATCTCCTTGAGCGTTTGAATTCAAAACATGTGCACGGTACTTTGTCGTGCCTTTCAGCGCTAGGCTAGTGGCAATGCATTGCCAGACACGCTATCTGAAAAAAGCGGCGCTGACAATTGGAATAGCATAAGTCGCATATTCAAAAGTCCAAAATAATATCCTACAACGCTGCCAACCTTTGTTTACATTAGGTGCTCAAGCCCTGTATACTTGTCATTCATTAGTCGCTTGCATTTAGCAGTAGAGCAAACTTCACCAAATGCCTGCGCTTGAACAGCACTAGCGCTGCTTCCTCGGCTGCACGACGTCTACATTCAAGCTCCCGTTCAGCTTCTTCTTTGGCCTTAGCTTCCGCTGCGAGCCTTGCGTTCTCCGCATCTCGTTCCGATAATTTTGTGCGAGCCTTAACAATGAACTGTGCGAGCCTTAAAAAAGCACTGATTCTGAAATATTGTCGTCAGGAACAGTATTGTACAGCTAACATTTGACTCGAACCCGCCCTAAACGTTGTAAAGTTCCGCTCAGTGGTGTCGATTCCACCTGCGTCTGTAAATCGCAAGTGGTATGCAGCCACTCTTCGTATAATCATCGCGTGCGTTACCAATCCTCTGCTCGTGCAGTCTCCGCTACTCCTCGCGCTTTTCTGCCAATTAACTGAACATATGCAACTGGAAGCATTGAGCATTTTTTTTCCATGCGGAGCATGGACGAATTAAGACTTTCCCACGGCCCTGTACTCTAACCCCGTGCAGTTTCGGGCGGGGAAACCACGACACATCGACAGCTGGGGGCTGATAGTCACATACACCCTCAATGTGTGCAAGCGTACCATGTCTCTTTGAAGGCAAAGATGAGATCCTCGATAAATCCCCTGGAAGTGTAGGATTAGCACGACTAGCAGGACGGAATTCCGCGCTCCATGAGCAGCGCTGGTGGTGTCTTTCCGCAGAAGCGTTATTCCTATAGCGCCCTATTGAGCTGCAACGTACCACGCCCGTCCGCCCACAAGACGACCATACGTGATGCTCGTATTGCTTCATTTGCTAAGTTAAACATGAAACGAAGGGGTTAATATGAAGCCGCGGTGCTGCATGGATGTATGAGTACGTACATGCAGCCGTCTCTACAGTACAGTTCTTGGCACGATGATTACGGGAAACTCGTCCAAATTCTGAGTAGAGTAGAACAAAGGCTTTTTGCAGGTTTTTGAGTTCCACTTAGCTTTTAGGCCATTTCCCCACTAAATGGCTCCCCTGCTACCATTTAAGACCGAGTACCAAATCATCGTGCATTATCCCTTCAAAGTTCATCAGCAAATTAGAGCTTCCCGATTAGGAATGGTGTGTAGTGGGAAACGACTTGTTGCTAAATAACTCAGCAGTGCAGATGAAGAAGGAAAACTCTTCCCGAAATACCCTATATAGGACCTTACTGCGATCCGAGCTTGTACGAGCAATGAGAGGGTGTGCTTCGAGCTCACCAGACTGGTCAGATGATTCTGAGTCCCAGGACAACACAAAACTCACAGGGAAAAGATATTCAAATAAGGTATTTCGCTAAACAAAAGGCCCAAACCAGGCTCAGAAATCTCACCTTATCGGCCTCAGCCATTTGCGTCGCCGTCCTCGATCGTGTCGTCTCCAGCTGTGCAGCT